GGAGGTTCGCTATCATTTAGGATAAGTCCGCGGGTGCAGGTCGTACACGGATAGTGGGCTGGGGGCCCGGGCGGAAACAGAAGATTTGAAGAGATGCGCAGTGAGAATACAGTAGACATCATGACACAGATGGTCGAGGAAAAACTAGGACAATTACATCCACACCTCAGCCTGCCTGACACCGCTCTTGCACACGCAAACACGCAAGTATGCACACAGAACAAAGGTGCGAGCACGTATGGCAAGCATTTTGTATCGTGATTCGAGAAACCAAGTTTCCTCGCAAGAAATCCGGTTTCGTGCTCGCAAAACCTAGTTTCTTGATTAAGAAACTAAGGTTTCTAGCCAGAAAAAGGTTTCCAACAACGTCACTAAATCACAACGCAACAATGAATCAATGCAACAATGCAACAAATCAACAATGCATTGAAACCGCTTACGTCACGGAATCCTAGATACGGGCCTTAGCAATGACGAAAGTGGGTTTCGAGTTCTGAAACTGGGTTTTGAGCTTGGAAGCGAGATTTCGAGCACTGAACCTATCAGAATTATGATACAAAATGCTTGCCAGACCACGCACACATTGCAATCACGCGTACTTCGATGGCTAGCGTCTTGAAGTTCCACATCTTCTCAAAGTGCATGAGTGGCTGCAGCCTGCCTAAATGCTGACCACCTGATGCTCGTTGAAGGTTGAATCGTTCGTGTAGAAGCGCACGCATGCCTAGCAGAGCCTCTCCACATGTCTGCTTATTCTTGGTTTCAGGTGGGGGCCACACCTTGTGGCTACGTGGAGGGACACAGCAGGGCGCGAGATTAGCAACGGCCCCACAGGCATACGCCGCAAATTATTTGGAGGGCCAGTAACATTGGCAAAACACCGCCCCTCCGAGCGGTGGGTTCAGCTGTGTTAGCGAGTACCTACATTTTTATTTATAGGCATTAAGTGAGCAAGTAGCCTACATTGCTGTTTTACTTGATTCAAACACTTCGCGACATCATTCATGATCTGCATTATAGTCTGTTCAACAGCTACTATGCGATGCACACACTACAGCTTTTTTTTTAATTATCATGTCAACTCTTATTTTAGGTCCATTCTGGTTTAAACAGCAAACAAATTTGTGAGGGCTGGTAGCCCTCTGGGCCGATGCAAAAAATCTGAATTTCATGCAAGCAAACCATATCTGTATTAATGGAAGACTGGTTTGAGCATGACGTTATTTAGGTGACTGTTGGCTCCTCCCTGCCCCTCCCTTCCTCGCTCTTCCCTGCATGCGTACAGGCGGACAGCTGGGTGTGAGTGTGTGCGTGCGCGTGGGAGCATGCATGCGTACAGGCAGGCAGCTGGGTGTGAGTGTGTGCGTGCGCGTGGGAGCATGCATGCGTACAGGCAGGCAGCTGGGTGTGAGTGTGTGCGTGCGCGTGGGAGCATGCATGCGTACAGGCAGGCAGCTGGGTGTGAGTGCGTGCGTGCGCGTGGGAGCATGCATGCGTACAGGCGGGCAGCTGGGTGTGCGTGCACGCGTGCACGTGGGAGCATGCATGCGTACAGGCGGGCAGCTGGGTGTGCGTGTGTGCGTCATGCTTGCATGCGTGCGCATTTTATAATTCACGTTATATATCGGCGCCAGCGAATGAAAATCGCGTGCAGCAACTTTGACTACGAATTGTTTCCTACATGTAGGATTATCTGCTGGATGCAAACCAGCTAACCGATGCCGAGCCACCGAACGATAGAGGCTGCAGGCTATGTGGCAAGATTGGCCACTTAGTAAAGGACTGCCCCAATACAATAAGGGTTAGTAAAATTCAATGAGCACACGTGAATGCTGTGTACTCTTAGGGTACATTGGTGGTGCAGTGCTATATAGTACAGTTTAGACGAATGAAAGGTTAAAATGATCGGATACATGTTCTGTAGAGGTAAAGTAGGCCTTTTTTTTATTGAAATGTGTAAAGAATGATTGTATTGAACTTGTTTTTAACATTAATAACATCATTGTTCATGGTTAAATCCTTAAAATATTTACCTTGACAGTTTCAGCTGTCGTTCTGACAGCCATCTTCAGAACTTCTGAATTCGTCAACGAAGCTGAAACTGTCAATGTAAATATTTTAAGGATTTAACCATGAACAATGATGTTATTAATGTTTTAAAAGAAATCCGACTATGAACTTTCAAGATTGTTTTTAACATGTTTAGAACATCAAATTAATTTAAACTGACATCAGTATTCACAATGCATTTGATAGTAAAATAAATACATGGACCTTTTTGCTGCATAGGCAAGAAGAAAGGATGCCGTGGAGAGACAGCAACTTATCAGAGAGAGAGAACAGAAAGAGAGACAAGAGGCTGGATATGGACGGGAAAGTACGAGAGAGAAGGACATGTCTGAGCATCTTCAGAGACCATGTAAGCAGGCAGGGACTGCACACACACACAACAACAGTGTGCATTTAGACACAGAAATTTCAAACAGCCTAATAGCCGTGTTGAAATATTTCTCACCATTTTAATCGTAACGTTTTAACCGTGTTAAAGATGCATTTTTGTACAGGAGAGAGTATGCTCTCTTTTCTGTGCTGTTATCTGGTGTTTGGGAGTGGTTGTATTCGTCTTGCTTATGTCTCTCATGTTGTTTCAGACTCTCAGCCTGTCGCCATACCAGGTAGTTGGAACAAGCAGGTGCAGCAAGGCAACGTGCCTCACATATCACCTGCATACCATCCTCCATCACCTAACTCACGCAGCCAGGCTTCTGTAGTGAACTCCCCCACAAGCCGTGGTCATGGCAACGACAGCAGGCACTACGGCAACTCCCCAGCGACACGCAGTCATGGTAACGAAAGCAGGCAGTATGCCACCTCTCCGTCGAGCCACGCGCCTGGCACCGACAGCAGGCAGTATGGCAGCTCTCCGGCGACACGCAGTCATGGTAACGAAAGCAGGCAGTATGCCACCTCTCCGTCGAGCCACGCACCTGGCACCGACAGCAAAGCAAGTGGCATGCTCTCGACACGGCCAGTCATGGTAACGAAAGCAGGCAGTATGCCACTTCTCCGTCGAGCCACGCGCCTGGCACCGACAGCAGGCAGTATGGCAGCTCTCCGGCTATGCACCAGCAGGGCTACAGCCCCGTCTCGCGGCAGTACAACCAGACTCCCCCGAAGCGGCCGCAGTACGTGCAGCACTTCGCTACGCACGGGCAGTCGCCGCAGCATCCGTACACGTCGCAGGCGGGACAGTCCGGCGCGCCCTCGCGAGCGTCGAGCGTGCATCCGCTACAGCAGGTGATGCTGTCGAGTGCAGTGCCTCTGCGTTCCCTGCAGGCCGGCGCGATGCACGCCCCCACGCAGCACAGCGGCGCCAGCACGAGGACTACACAGATGTACACGCAGGGCACCTCGAACCAGCAAGTGTACAAGCAGGGCAGCCCTAGTCAGCAGGCATACACACAGTTGATTCAGAGGCCGGGACCTGCGTACCATCCACGGCATCCGCTGCTGCCGACTCCGCAGGACTTTACTACCATGCCGCCTAACCCGCAGACTTCTCGGTCACAGTCACTGCCCCCACAGTCCATGCAGCAGCAGCAGCAGCAGCAACAGCAGCAGCAGCAGCAACAGCAGCAGCAGCAGCAGCAGTAGCAGCAGCAGCAGCAGCAGCAGCAACAGCAGCAGCAGCAGCAGCAGCAGCAGCAGCAGCAGCAGCAACAGCAACAGCAACAGCAGCAGATTCCTCACACGATACAGGGTCCTCGTGCGAACATACAAGCGTCACTTCTCGGCTCACAGGTGAGGCCAATGGTGAGGACTTCATTGGGGTTCGTGATCAGCGTCCCGTAAACCCATTAGGAACATTTGTGTAATTCGTAGAATGTGTTAATATAGTACACAATCTATTATCTGAAACCCTTGGAACCAGATACCTTTTGGAATTCGGAATTTTTCGGATTTCGGAATGGTAGTACAGTACAGATATACATAGCGTCAGAAGTACCGTATATACTCGCGTAATAACCGCAAATTTGGCCTCATATTTCAACCCTGTATTTGCTCTGCGGTTTATAAGTGTGCCATACCGTGGGGGGAAATATACTAGGCGCAATACTTGGTTACCCGATTCAAATTGAGGTGCAGCTTATAGGCGCCCGCGGTTATTACGCGATCATATACGGTAGATAATAGGGAAGGAGTGTGACTTCAATACACAAGGGAAATTCGTCATTTACTAGTTTTAGAATACCTACGATTTACTACGCGTAACTCAACCAAGTTGAGCTCAAATCGTACATACTGTGTACGACTTGAGCTCAAGTTGGTTGAGTTACGCGTAGTAAATCGTAGGTATTCTAAGGCTAGTAAATGACGAATTTCCCTTGTTTATTGAAGTCACACTCTTTCCCTATTATCTACTTCTGATAGTGTATATCCTGCAACTAGCCAGTACTAAAACCCAAGTTTTCAAGAGGCCAATTCATGTACCAACCAGTACATTACAATATGTATGATAAATGCCAAACACATTAATATTTCTGCAGTGAACCTTCTGCAGCCAAAGGCCAACTTTGGTGTGCAGATGACCTCCACGAAAACATTTTTGGTTTTTGGAGCTTTTCGGTTTTCAGAATTTGGGATAATAGATTGTGTAGCTGCAGCTAGTGTAGTAGTTAGTTGTAAGTTGTGATAGGTTGATAGGTGAAACGTAACACTGCAGGTCACGTAAATTAAATTACGCTCTTTAGCATCGATTTATTTCATGCTCTGTAATCAACAAGTAATTTGTAAAAAAAATTCGATTTTTTAGAAGCATCTCCAATTTCCAGTCTGCTTTGAGGTAAAAGGATCGTCAAATTATTTAAATTCACAAAAAGTTTGTTTCTGCCCAATTTTATTGAAACTAACATAATTTTTGGCACTAAGTGATAGTGCAGGATGGAGGTAATACAAAAAAAATGTATGGACGAATAATTGTGTCTGAAACATACTTGATATACGTATGCATACCGATACGATGATAACATATAAACATTCTTTCATCATTGATTTTCAGTCTGTGCAAAGCGGTGCTTCGGCATTCCACCAACAGAGTGCGCCGCTGACCAATCAGGGCCCTCAATCCCACATTCAGGTGCATTACTCGCACAACCAACAGCAGCCGCAGCAGCAGCCAATGAGAGCAGAGCAGAGGAGCAACCCTGTGTCACATGACCAACGGACATATCAGAGAAGCTTTACAGATAGTGTTTTGTACTCGCAGTCGCGTAATCAGTAGATAGATCTCACTCGAGCTGCTTCGTAACAACATGGTGGATTGCATGCTGAATCCTACTGATGGTGAAACCTCTAATAGTAGCGACTCGTTATACACTGATTTACTGTCTCTGTCGTAGATGTGCACAGTCAGCTCTTGCCACACTTGATGCTTGCATGAATTTGCGGGCATCTTGGCAAAGTGCAAAAAACTACCCTGACCTTAATGTAAAAATTATTTGTTTTTTATATCAACTGTTAAAGGAAAATTATGTTGTCACTACCCAAATAAATTATAGATGTTGTTAAACTAGGCTATGGTATAGACGACTATCTGCTGATCTAGACAGTACAAAACAACTTGTGTTCATGTAGCTTGAATTAATCTACATGAAATCGGCTCTACGCGTATATCGAAAAGTGACCTTTTTATGCGATAGGTGGCGCGACGTGTACCTTATAGCCATAGAAATAATATACTTGTTATATTCGTGTCTGTAATTATTTCTATGAGTATAACAGGTCTGTTGCCGTGTACGTACTCCTTACCGCCGTCGCAAGCATGTTGGGAGGAAAACTATTTCGGTTGTTAATTTGAAATAAACGTAGGGCAGTGGAGAAATTTGCAATGATTCCGTGCGCAGAAAGAAGTGCACGGAAATTTTTTTTCATGGTACAATCGATCGGAGCTGCCTCGAAGTTTTTGTTGCTGTCCGGCTATAACAGGCCATAAATACGTTAGCATTCTGAATCTGAGGTCACGTGAACCCCGCTGATCACCTGTAATAAATATTGTAGTTGATTTATTGTAAAGGTGGCATGTACATTCTACCTTCATGCTGTCGTTCACTATTTTAGTTACATTACTGCAATTGTAATTATTGTATTGTTGATTTTATTTGTACACGGCTTTAGTGTGTTGTTGGGTTCAAACTAGGTAGGGCCTAGTTGTTTAGCCATAATTATTATTTTGCCATATTTACTAGTTTCTAATTTTTTGATGGGCGTCACTACAAATCGCCTGGTCTCATTGCAGCTAAGAAAATTTTTAATCAGTACACGAACTCGAAAGACATTAACATATGTCCATGGCCAACTGTTAAGATGGATTTAATTTTAGTGCCCTGTATGTCCTAGTTGAGTATATAGCCTAGTATTTGAGAATAATGTCATGATTTTTATAAATAAAATGGATTGGTCGAATAATCTTTATTTTTGCCATAAAACAAATCCTCTAAAAATATTATTACAGTGATTGGTAATATTGTGAACTATATCTGTTCGTATCTCTATATTATGTCCAACATAGGTTGCAGTTTTATTTCTTTAGAAAAAAATTTAACTAGTTATTTCATTCCAATTTTTTATGGTAATCAGTTTTGCTCACGTGCTATGGTTGGTTTAAATATAGAAATGTGCCTTTTGGCATGAGGTTTATTGTATAATACAATAAAAACTTATAGTTCTTGCCAATCAAACCCAAATCCGAATATACTGTGTTTGTAAGGGTTGGGTGCAAGTTGAGCAAGTAACATTGTTCAGGCAAATCCTACGATTTTCATTGAAATAAAACGTTTTACTAAATTTGTATGTTTAAATGTATATATGTGTTAGATTTTGTTGCCTTTCTGTAGCTTTTGTTGTTTGATATTGTTTTTATTAGAAGAACTTGACAGTGATTCAGATGGAGCAGTGTCGGTTCGTTCTCACCAATACCATTCCCCAAGCTACTCATACCACACATGATCTGTATATATGCTTGAGTTAATACAATATAAGTTAGCGTATGTGTCTATACTCGCACGCGCGAACACACGCACGCACGCACACACACAGTCACACACACACACACACACACACACACACACACACACACACACACACACACACACACACACACACACACATTATGCGAAATGTAATAAATCTCATGATATAATTTATACGGCGTATTTGCAGCTGACCCCGTGTGTCATCCCACACGCGGATACTACGATCTTTCATGGACATGTTTACACTTTTATATTAATCTATTCTTCCTTTTTCCTATGATAAGTTAGAGGAAAAATCAGTGAGATTCGACACCATATAATATTGAATTGTAATTTAATTTTTTTATAATAAACTACTCATGAGTACGCCGCGTTCTTTTCATTAAATTACAATTTCATCTATTTAATATTTCTGTTCGCGAATTCGCGAACACGGTTTTAACATTAACGCAATTTTCTCATCTGTATGAACAATGACTGCTGATAAATAATTATGATCGAAAAATAAAAAGGATATAATAAATTAGTGTAAAAAGTTAGGAAAGTGATGTTGACATTGTTGTAGCATATCCAATGACCTACGGGTACGAACAAGAGTAGATAATAACACAATGTTTTATTATCTACTCTTGGTACGAAGAATACTCAATAGTGTAAATTTACTTTTTCTTTTGATCTTTTATTATAACTAGTGAAATGTGATGCGAGCATAGAAATGTAGTAGGGGCCTAAATGATACAACCATTTATAATCATTAATGCACACAACGGGACCGACCATATCAAGGCATCATTGCACCCAGAGAAATAAATAGATAACTATGGTTATCTATGGTTAACTATGGTTATCTATCTATTTCTATGATTGCACCCATAGAAATAGTATAGATAACTATGGTTATCTATTTCTATGATTGCACCCCTATCAAGCAAAGTGCATCTGCCCTACGACAAAATAAACGGACGCACATGATTGGTCGACGTGCAACGTCACGTGGTAACCATTATCGACATTTAAACATCGGTGTACAGCAGTTGCAATATTACAACCTAGCACCGATAAGCATGAGACCGATGTCTTTTTAAACAGGATTACGTGTCTAATTCACTAAAACATCTGTGTGTTTATATGTCGAGACCCTATCAAAAATCGTGTAATTGTTATATTTCTCAGACGAAACTATGTGTTGAATTTGAAATATAACAGACAAATGTTGTGATCTGTTGGGTGTTTGCGTGATCTAAGGAGGAAGGTGGCTCGGCTCATAGTCATACGTTGTGAAAATCTTATCCTGTCACACAAAGGAGGTTTCCATCCAGCCATCGAGCTTTGAGAGTCAACGAAAAGCAAGTACGACTAAAGGTTTTTGGAGCAGAGTCATCAAAGGTAGTAGGCATGTCTCAGTTAACTGACAATGAAGTCATTTGGAGCTGCGAAATTATTAAAGGTAAGGAGGTGTTGACCGTTGTGACCATGATTGATGGCATGAAATTCAGTGGTTATGTACTATACTCTCTCATTTGTGAAGTTAAGTGGCCACATACACTGTTATACGTACCGTACCGTACTACTACTATCTCCAAGAACGGTTATACATCCAAAAAGCAATATCTGTTGTAGCTCTAGTAACTATAGCCCGCGTACAGTTGCCGCAGGCCTGCGACAACTGTACACAGGCTATAGGGCTCTAGAGCTATATCTGTTGACGTTTACTTCGCAGCCTGCTCGGGCTATTACGGCATATATATGTCGTAATGAATGTAGTGCCAGTGATATTTAAGTAGGATTAATAGGTCGGCGGTAGCCCTATTAATTCCGAAGCTATATTATTAGTATTACTAAGTAAAAATGAGAACTACGTAAATGGACATTATTCTTTCGTGTATACATATCTTTATTCTCAGGACTCGATCTTCTTCCTCTCCCTAGCTCCCCCTCATATTGACCCCCCATGACCACGTGAGGAAATTACTAAAATATAGGGATCAAAAAATAAGATTAGCAGAATTAAATGCTGGAGGTAAAAATTAATGAAAATGATAATATGAAAGTTTACATTCCCAGAATATCCTCGCACCTTCACCAGAAGTGATGCCTTGTGAAATACAAGAGTGGGACAATATTATATACGATACGATCTTCTTATTCCTATTGCACCTCCTCCTTCTTCTTCTCATCTTTCTAATCCTTCTATTTCTTCTCACCTTTCTCATCACTCCTCTTCCTCGTTCTCTTCTTCCTCTTTCTCCTCTTCATCCTCCTATCATTCCCCTTATTATTCTTTCTTTTCTTCTGCTCTTAGCTGCTCCTTATTTTCTTTCTCTTCCTACACACACGTGTATGAGTAAAAATTCGGAGCCAGTGAATAAGTCCAGAACTTTGGATTATGGGTTGATGTTGATTGTATTGTTTTTTCATTTATCACCATTTTCAATATTTTAGATCGGCTGTATTTTGCGACCGTCGGAGGACTTAAAATGCGATCAACACCAACGACACACTATTTCTCTATTGACGATGATCTAGTGTATGAAAAGTAAGTTTGTCGCATGCAGATTCATGTTCGTTTTCAATTTTGCAGTGGTATTGCATTTGCGATAGATATTACAATACTGGTAACAGCTTGTAGTTTTCCATGTAGGTGTAGCTTATTTGCTAGAATCAATGTCTATTATATTGATGCTGAGGTACGGTACCGTACCTATTTAGTACAGTAGAAACATTTCCAGATTGTGATCGCATTAGATTGAAATAGCATTTAGAATGTCTTACCGATCTTCTCTTTTGTTTTCTTTACCGAAGTGCTCTTTTATCTATCGTCAATCTGTAATAATACCATAACACACACGCACGCACACAAACGCACACACACACACACACACACACACACACACACACACACACACACACACACACACACACACACACACACACACACACACACACACACACGCACATGCACACACAGAATTGCAGTCGCATTTTTTAATAGTTTCGTGACTGGTGAGGTTCTACAAACCTGCTGACCCGTTTCTTTAGAATTGTGTTAGCTGCTGGTTCTAGGGCAAGCCTAGGTCAGTTGCTACTATAGGTTTATCTATTGTTTTTGCCATATACACGGTCTTTCCCCTAATGCACTAGGTATACACGCGTAACATGTGTATTATGTAATAAATATTAATTAGGTTCTTTTATATATATATAGCAGAATAGACCATTATTATTTATTTGAACGCAGTGTAAAGTGCATAGCACTATATGCGTTATTGCTCTGCCACTAACTTATTGCCACATCAGCCATAATATTATGCTACCAACTACTCAATATGCGAAACCTCGATTGGAAGAGCTATCAGAGCTAGTAAATGCCGGTAGAATTTTGATTCTTGTACTCAAATCTGAAATGGATAGAGCACTAGTGAAGCTTGGTCACCCTAAATTTGTGGGTTACCAAAAGATTTTATATGCAGTTTGACCATGTACGCAGACAGTAACTGTAAACTGTTGACTTGCGCACTTGTATATTGACTTGTTCTGTCAAAGTCGTCATATATGTACATGCAGTGAGTGTGATTATTATTTTGTTTTGTTTTAGCTTTTATGCGGATTTTGGTCCCTTGAATTTGGCCATGCTCTATCGTTACTGCTGCAAGTTAAACAAGAAATTGAAGGTAAGATGCAAGGCTCTACTTATGTGTGTACAATTAATAAACATATATGCTGTAAATCATTTTTGTCGCGATTTGCTGGTTGAAACTCCCTTGCACTCTGAACAGTTGACACAAAATGTCTAATAAGTTACTAATCACCAGTTTCAGGAATGTTGTATTAATTCCTAGTATATGTTCTAAATCGACGTGCTATTGGGGAATGAATGAATAAATTGTACGTTATCACCTATCTTGTGGAGACTCGGTCTGTAGTTCTGCTCGTACTATAATTTTAATGTTTACTGTTATATACGCAGGGAGCGAAATTAACGGGAGTCCGGAGTCAAATACTCCCTGATTTACTGTCGGACTCCCTGATTTAACATGTACATATGCAGGAGCCTGTGTGACTCCCTGAAAATTCTGCCATACTAACCAGGCACTGCAGAAATATGTATACAATGCGGGGGGTCTGGGGGTACCCCCCCAGACAAAATTTTGAAATGTAGAGCCTGGAAATGGCATTTCCTGCATTTTCAGGCTATGTTTAAACTTAAGCAACCAATTCTGATAATTTTAAAAGGTCAATTTGTAAATTTCAAAGAGGAATGTAGCTAAAGCTGATGTTTTGACTAAAGTATCTAAAATATATATTATGAGTATGATAACTAATAAAACATTATTTACAAAATTGTATATATACTATCATACTATCAGTACATAATTATGAAAAATAAGCTTATTTTCAATCGGCATTTATAGTTTCACTATGTAAATCTGTATATGTTATGAAGTTTGAATTTGAATAGGCACATTGTTATATTAGATACACATTCCAGAATTGTTTTTTTTTCAAAATAGTGCCACGGCAGTGCCGTGCTGCAGTGGCGGCCACTACGGCCCTGCTAACTATAGTTCATTCTGGAGCACGGTCTCGCGGAATTACTGTATTTGTTCAGCTAATGTCCAAAGAAAATTTGGCAGATGTGCTACTGCATGATTTCATGAATCTTAAAAATAAGCACATGCGTTATTGTTAATATCTTTAATTTTGAACCTCAGACTGCGGACTCCGTCATTTTGCTGCGGACTCGCTCTTTTTGAGGGTAGTGGTTGGACTCCCTTGTTCAAAAGTTAATTTCTACCCCTGGATACGTGTGTACGCATCCACTGCAGACTTGTGTTACTTCTCTGTGTGCAAACGGTGTTGATCCGGGCAACCTTGCCTCAAGCTTTATATGGAAAAGTGCTATGAAGGCGCAGAAAAGTAGCTTTGTGGGAGTTTATGGGTGACTGGGTCGCTGTCAGGAGTCAGGACTGCCACGAATCTTGGCAAGTACTACCGAATTTATAATCTACAGATACTGAGCCGTCGGTGAATGGATACGTTGATAAATAGACACACGGCAGACAGACAGATAAACCAGCAGTCTCCAGATAGTCTACACATACTGAACGTAACTTATCTTTGGACGGATGGATTGTTAGGGGGTAAATGGACGGATCGGTGGATCCATAGATAGACGGATGGACAACAGAACAACAGATAAACACGCATGCTTACAGACTGATAGACAGACGGACGGAAGGACAGACAGATTGGCGGCAGGTAGATGTATAAATGTGTGCAAGAGAGTGGAGCTTTATGTAACTCTATTGTTGTTAAGTTCGTGGTAACAAAACCCTGGAAAAAGAGCCAGGCCCGTTGTTACACGGCGGGGTGCACACCGATTAGTTCTATTATTGAGGGTTAATCGCACACTTAGCCAACAAGATGACGGGGAAAACAAACATCTTATTTCCTGAGCTATACTGTACAATTTTCCAAATAAGAGGCGGCAGATTCTTCCATTGGTTACAGCTACAGTTCTGTATCGTTTCTGTGCAACTATCTGTTCCGTATCTGTCGGACGTAAAATTTACCTGAATGGCATTCAGTTGTTTTTTGTAATTATCAGGCGCAAATCCACTCATTCATGTGCATTGATTGGCCGTCCGTATCAGCATTTTGATTGTGCCTAAACGGGCGTTTTGTTGTTCTTGCACTTTTCGATACCTGGCGATGTATTTCAGGTCTTTGTTTCCCAGCTTGTCCTTCGAAGTGTACAGTATAGCTCATAGAAACGGCCAGCGAACACGCACATGAGCAGTATATGAAGCATCGTATATGCATTACATGTTATAACGTCATGCGATATTGATAATTTGAATAATGCTTGCTCTGCAGAGCGCATCGACCTGCCTAAACAGCACATATATACCTCCCCCACACACACGCACACGCACACACACGCACACACACGCACACACCACATCCACCAGTTGAAATTACCTGTAGGGTTGTCTATACTATAAACATGCCAGCTGGTGCATGAGACATGTTGTACAGTACTAAACCACCTCACTGCCCAATTGGGTTCTATGCTCTTGGTTCTATATATCCTGCTAACTAGCCCCCGTGTGTGTACCATGCCAGCTTGATTCTATTTGTGTTTGTATTAATAGCTATAGGTAAGCTTACTATGTAAGCAAACTTGGTCAGCCGAGTGTTTATAAGTATCGTGGATGTATATCTGTTCCGAGCCAAGGCTATCATGTATAGAATCTAGTCCGCTTATATATTGTCCCAATTATTGTCCCGTGCATAAAGATTTACAGTGTATCACAGTACGTGATATTTGTAGGAGATGTAGTGATATTAGTAGATACACTGTTACGTCTCACGAGCGTATGTGTACTATGTACATCCCGACACTATATACTACAGTACCCCTACTATTCGTGTTCGTGTGATATAGTAGTCATGCAGGGAGCCAAGTGAAGCGACCCTATGTTTCAGCCATGTCAACTGTTGGCCTACAAATTACATGTTTATGGCGAGTCAGTAAGTAGAATATATGCCATGGTATGGGATGTTTCCTCGAGTGATACGTGTGTATACTCGCCAGAGAGAATTTCCTATTACGAAACATTGTAGCAAGTACATACATATGCTACCTAAATAAAAACACGGTCTCTAGTAGTACCACGTTGTATTCACAGACATACGGACCGTTGGTACAAGAGCTTGTGTACATGTATGTAAAATGTGTGTCTGACTGGTGTATGATTACAATGTATTTTGAATTACGCTGCTGGCCAGGACACTGAGTACTGGGTGAGTGCAAGGACACCGGACTGGGTAAGCGATGTCCTGGCTCGTGACGTTATACACATTGCAGTGCTTGTCTCGCAACTATTTTTGTTGGGTCTGAGTAAGCGATGTCCTGGCTCGTACATGTGACTTTACACACTGCTTGTCCTGCAACTTTTTTGGGGGTATCATGGGTAAGCGTTGGCGATGTCCTGGCTCGTGACGTTATACACACACTGCTTGTATCGCAACTATTTTTGTTGGGTCTGAGTAAGCGATGTATTGGCTCGTACATGTGACGTTAAACACTGCTTGTTCTGCAACTTTTTGGGGGTATGGGTAAGCGTTAGCATAGTCCTGGCTTGTGACGATGCACTTTGATTTGACTGGCATCTGTTTTATAGGGTTTTTGGCAAGCATTGGCACAGTTCTGCATTATTATTAGCTACTAGCTAAGCAACGGTGTACGATGCGAAACGCCACAAATTCTGCACTACACTACCCACCTACACTACACTTACACCTACACCGCACAGGCCTACACTATTTACACAAATGCATAAATATGGCTGCTATCATCAAGGGAAGCTATCCTAGCTGCACAGGCATCAGCAAAATTGTGCAGACATGCGTGACTTTCCCTTAATGTTTTCAATACTACTGACAAAGAGTTTTTTTGCGTTTGTTTGAAGTGTTAGAATGATGCTGGCAAACGTACAGGGAAACCTAACTAGAGAAATAACTCTCCTGTCAGTGTCACGCATCTATCTCTCGCGTACACCCCACCAGAACCGCTCCTACCCTTACAGAAATACGCATTCGTACGATGCGAATCGTGAGCGAAATAATTAGACAGTAAATTAAAACGTATCGCGGAATAATAAAGACGTGACTAGCTTCTGCTGACGGCGGGTGACCCCAATAAGGTTTGTTGGTATACTTCTGAGCGCCAACCATTGTGTTACGTAGTCGTGCCTGTACTGCTGCCTGCCTGGCTGCCAGCGAACAGTCTTGACCGTTCTTGTGTATAATTTCAGTGTAATGTTATTCCTGATCGACTTGCGTACTGATCTGAACTGCCTTGTCTGTCGTCTGTCATCTTCGGCTACTGCTAATTAAGTTGTCTATGATCGGTTCACCGTTGATGTTAGGAATTAAACGTAGTTTAGTTCAGATAAATCGTGGGAGCGTCTAGGAAGAGTAGTTTGGAATCTCATCTCAGCTGTACTTGTTTATAGCATAAATTTGGGCGTCATCACCGACTACATAATTAGGTGTGAGATCCTGTTAGACTGCAGATGCTGTTAACTTTTAGTGGGAACTGCGAAAAACAGCGTGACTGCATGGCTGTGATGAAATGTTTAGAGACCCACTAGCAGTTTGAGTCATGATGGTCAAGACCGGGTTTTCGAAAATTTGGAATCTTTTTAACAAATCAGGCAGACGTTTTATGTCACTATATCTACATTATTTTACTCACTTATCTAGATATATACTTGCCATGGGAACAGTCATAAGAGGTGCTAGAAATGATACACGCGTTAAATAATAACTGATAATAGTGTGGCTTTCTTAGAACACATGGGTGTGGCATTTGAAGTCTATGTACCAGAATAATAACTCTAAAAATGGCCCAGACATATTTTACTATATAAACAGACTATTTAGTAACATCGATACTGGGACATCCAGCCAACCTATTGTTGGATCAAGGATAGTCTGTGACCTCCGCGTAATGTTTTTGCATATGTGCTGAACTAATCTGGGGCGCTAAACTATTGTTTTTGCTACAAAATCGTTTACGTTGCGATGTTACACGTTCGTGCTGGCCCTATGTTAAATTTCAGTCGTATCACTGGCCTATACCTAGCCACGCTGCTTATAATTTTAATGTTGCTCTTGTAAGTGATCGTGCTAAAACACTTGTAGAGCGCTCGCGTATATTACACCGCCTGTTGGCCGAGTAGAGCTCTGGTCGAGTCTAAGTTTTTAACTAGTCTAAGTTTAACTCCTTGCATAAGTTATTCTGGTGTATGTAAAAAAAAATCCCAACATGCAGCTGTCGATTCCTCTAAGCACCGAGGCAGGTATATATCTGTGGCCCAACGGCGCAATTCACCTGATATCAGATCATGTAAAACTCGGATTCTTCTGCCGACGTGCTTTGAACTTACCGCGTCTCCCAGCATGGTTATACAACTGGCAGTTGAAAACGTCTGCGATTTCCTAATAGTTTCCGATGGCAACTAATTCTAAGTGTCGTGGTCGCGCATCGGTGGTAATACGTGTTCTACAGCTGCTGCTGCTGATCAATGTATATATATATCATCACCGGCGTACAGGTGTGTGTGTGTGCAGGCAGGCGCTGAAGGTGGGTGTTGAAGGGGGGGGGCTAAGGCGTGTATATTTTGACGGTGTGTTATGGCGGGGCCTGTCCGCGCACCAGCTACTGACGGAGGCATCGTGCAGTGAGTGTATGTTCTGTCCGCCGCCTACCCCTACCCGCGACTAGGCACAAACTTGAACTACTACTACTCGCCGCCGTTGCTCTTTTTAACGTACGCGGGATGCTGCAGCAGGTGGCTGGATGGATGGCTGGCTCGCTGGCTGGCTGGCCGGGTCGCTATGACTGGCGCAGCGGTGCGGCGGTATTATATATATTTCCTCCCAGAGCTCTGTAGCTAAGATTTAGCCTAGCACAGCTTGCTAAACTAAGGGAGCAGCAATCTGGGGCTCTCTCTATATACTCCGGCAGTGTCAATATCTTGCCGCTTTCCTGCTCTCTCCCTGCGAATGCATGTGCAATATTGCAGTTCCTCACTGTACAGTCGATGTGTGCGTGCGTGTGCGTGCGTGTGCGTGCGTGTCTGTGTGTGTGTATGTCCGAGTGTGTGTGTCTGTCCGAGTGTGTGTGTCTGTGTGTCTGTCTGTGTCTGTCTGTGTCTGTCTGTGTGTGCGCGCGAGCGTGTGTGTGTGTGTGTGTGTGTGTGTGGGGTGTGTGTGGTTGGTGCGTGTGCGTGCACGTGCGCGCGCGCGTGCGTGCGTGTGTGTGAATGTTCTTGGAAGTTGCTACATTTGACTACAAAGTCGTGTAATAAAAATCCAGCTTAATGCGATTAAGGTTTGGACAATTTAACAGAGCGAATATCACGTTCTAGATCTTTGTCCTATATATATATAACTAGCGAGATAAAACCCCCATCCGGCGTTGCCCGGGGGAATGGCGAGGTGGCGTTACTACGTTGGTGACCGCTTGGTTGAAGATGGAAAGAATACCCAAAAAATCGAACTATCCATCTATTCTATGCATCCATCCATCCATGCGCATTCCATGCCATCCCATCCCATCGCACTCGCATCCCGATCCATCCCATCCCATTCCCTACTCCCATCCCATCGCGATGCCATCTCATTCGGCCATCCCAGGCCATGCATGGCATCCCCCCCCATCGCAACGCATCCCATCCCATCCTATCCTACTGCCGATCCCATGCCATGCCGATTTCCACTCCGCCATGCATGCGATCCCAAATCCCATCCCATCAACAGTAAATAAATAATAAGAAATCAAAGATAAAAAAGTCAAAATTATATAGAAAATATAATAATATGTGATATGTAACCTACATAGGCTTCCGTGAAGTGTTCCCGTCAGTTTGCGCTCTCTACCATCTATCATCTACCATAGTTTATTCTGGATTTTTACTAAACGTTTAAATGTGGTAAAAAAAATAAATTTTGAAATTAACGGTGAATACGGCAGAAGTACATACTAAACAGTCCAAAAGTAAAGAAACAAAGCATTTCCTGAGGTGGGATTCGAACCCAGAATCGATGGTTTAGGAGTCCGATGCTTTATCCATTCGGCTACTGGGCCGTTATGGTTATATATATACACCATGGATTCACACGTACGTGATGTATAATGTTAATCTGTACGCCATCTAAATTTTTAACTTTTTAACTTTTTTGAAATTTTGTTTCAGCCAGAACCACCTCCCAGGCGTGCTGATTCTGAAAATATATTTAGTTTTCCTCTAGGCTGCGGAGTTCTCTAGTTATGCGCGAAAACACAAATTCGGCTGAACAACTTTATATATACTAGCAGAAAGTATACCCGTAGAACCACAGGCACTTGGGACAGAGTCAGTAAAAACTGAAAATAATATGAATGCACATTCACAAATAGGCCCTACTACCGTACCTCTCAATTACAGTTCCACTGTTGCGTCACTGTATATCAACTTTCCTTCATAAAAAGCTGCGAGTGTGCTGTGTCGCCATTATAATAATTAATATATATATAGTTGCACTGACGCATGTGACAACTCCAACATACATTGGAATTTAGACTTAGGTGTACTGTGCAATGAATGATTGAAAATAAATATTAGATGTAGAGGGTTTTTCTCAAAAATAACTCATAATCACAGACTACTCACCACTGCACTGGGTACAACAGAACACTGGTACAGCTACTGGCCACTGGCTACTGTGTCAGTACGGTGTACGGCAAAGCAGAGTGAACGTGAAAGTAAAAGCAGGGGGGAATCTGCAGTGTGGGGGGGGGATACAGTGTAGTAATGCTTCAACTTTCAGGGGGGATCTTAGATGTAGCACCATCTATTGAGGAATAGGTTTTTTTATGTGTTTTTAACTTTTTAACTTGTTTAAATTTTTGTCTCAGCCAGAACCATCTCCCAGACGTGGTGATTCTGAATATATCTTCAGTTACCGCGATTGAGTGACAATTGAGTGACAAATGACGGAGAAAAGCGAGGTCACACAAACACACACACACACAAGATTAGCCAAATTATAGTATAGATAGATAATATATGTATATATATAATATTGTATCTTTGTAGTTTCACTTTATTTCCATGCATATATTATGAATATATTCGTAATATAGACAGTGGAATGTGGGTAAAATAAATATTACTATCTCATATCTTCTTGCACTTGCGTAGAAAACCTGATATGATGAAGTTGGAAGCTAGGTCTATGCAAATAGGGAGAATGTATACATACAAACGTGACCGCAGTAACTATATACAGTGACGATGCTAATGCAAAAGTACATGTGTGCGATCTGTGGACGGTCTCTTAGTGTGTACCGGCATATTACTTGAGCCCAAGCACATTGTGTTGATATTTAGGAATTCAGAAAAAGATCCCGAAATACCGACCTGTTCTTGTACTAGGCATTAACACGAGTATGCATTTCTCTATTGCAGTCATTCTCTCTAGCGAAAAAGAAGATAGTTCATTACACAACGCAGGATCAACGGAAAAGGCCGAATGCTGCATTTCTCATTGGTGCTTACCAGGTAAGGCAGGACATGAATCTGTGTGTGTGCTGTGCTGCGTTATAATTATCATCAAATACTACTTGAATCCTTTTGAGAATCCTGCCCACTTTAATTCTGAGGAATTTTTAGACATTTTGAGAGAGTTTGGAACTTCAGATACATTACATCACTATTTGCTGCAGCCCTGACCATTTCTGACCATACCAATCCTATATTATTTAAATAATAAAATACTCAATATATATATATTATAATATGTATATATATATATATATATGTATTATATAACCCGAAAGTATTCGGGGTAATTAAACTATGTTTTAAAGTTTTGCTGCTCAATGTTATAGCTTCACAGTAGGTTAGTGTAGCCGTATAGTTTTTTGTGTTCACCCTGCCATGTCAGCGCGCGCTCGCGTGCGTGCGTGTGTGTGTGTGTGCGTGCGTACGTGCGTGTGTGTGCGTGCGTACGTACGTGCGTGTGTGCGTGCGTGCGTGCGTACGTACGTACGTGCGTGTGTGTGTGCGTGTGTGCGCGCGCGCGTGTTTGCATGTGCGTGCGTGCGCGCGTGTGTGATTTATTTTTCATGTTACTGCTGTGTATAGCTCTCTTCCTGTCTCTCATTACTCGCATGTTTTATGATGTTTGTCACCTGATGACGGACAAGCGTAATCGGCAGCGTGCGACACACTTACAGTGTCATTAATCTCGCACTTGTCTGGTGTATGACTGTCAGCAAATCTATACTAGCCCTACATTCATAGAGCAGAGAGAAAAATACCCCCGAATGCAAGTGACTCCAAGCTGCAGTGGTACTATATATATCAGACGTAGATAATAGGGAATTCCCTATTATCTACTTCTGATATATATAATATATGTGTCAGTGTGCGGCAGCTTGCGTGCTGTGTACATGGGTGTTGCAGAAGAGCATTTGGACGGCATTTACAAGAAATTGTCGGCAATAATAGGCGAAAGAGAGTAGAGAAACATTGAGAATTTGGTAGTAAATAGATTTCGTATTTATTTAGCATTATATTTTATTGAAACGCTCCAAGTGCTTGTGCTGCAGTATGTGTTCACAAGCCTTTTAAGCATACACGTAGAGTTAATACCCGTGGATCATCTGCAATGCCGCGATTCCATGCTTCATGTAGAAATTATGTGATATATATATCAACAAGACTGACTTGTTAATTGAGCTTCCCGGGCCCATGCAGTGAGACGAGCTGAATGTTGAAGTTAATGGCAATCAATGCAAAACATGGCGAAATTTGCGAACAAACAAACTCACATCTAGAAGAACACAAGTTACACAACCCTGTACGGAAACTATCCAACAGAACTGTTGTAGTATATCCTATATGTGTTGGTATGTATAGAATTATATTATGCAGGGTATACAGTTGTTGTATGGAATTATGGTGTACAATTAAAATAACATATGCAATAATTGCAATCATATACAATTTCAGTTGCAGTTGTAATCACAATTGTATAAAATCTTCCATTGTGCGCAGCTATTTGTTTTTCATTGTAATCACTTACATTGTAGCTCGAATGATCAGACGCAGTGCATGCAATACAGTTGTAGATTAATTATATATTAACTGCATATTTAAAATTCATCCACACCTAATGCACACGAATATAATATAATGGAGGAATCTGGTAGCTAACATGTCAGGTGTATCCAAAGTAATCATATCAGGCTCCGGTGTGTAGCTCGACGTCTTAGTGAAAACCTGCCCGAACTTTTTTTTAAATCCCAGAGGGAATCTATCAGGTTGTATATAGGTGTGGATGGCACAGTCCAAGATATGTGCTGTTCAAATAGACAGCGTGTATACACATAGGATCATGCATACACGAGGTATATTGTGATCTTGAAAGTGTTTTTAAAGCCTGACTGCACGGTGACTTTGAGTCTGCATAATGCCGAGGGGTAGGTAGGTAAGTCATCTTCCCTCGTAAGCATTCCCAAACCAACCTCGCGATCCGGTTCTTTCCCCGTGCAGAAGAGAGAGAGAAAAAAACTCGGCTATTTGCCCACGTGAAAGTGAAAGCGGGAAAATAGCCCGGGGCAGTGTTCCCTTTTACCGCCATTGTTAGTGACCACATGAATCGGCGCATCTTGAACATTTGCCAATAAAAATTCGCCCACCTTCGACCTAAATAAAGAAAAATCGCATAAAGGGATGTCCTGTTCGGCTGTTGGGGATAGATAGATTTGTTTTGTCTTTGAGCCGCGGGCGCGCACGAAGGTGGTTAGATTCGTAGAGGCACACCAGTAGACTCCCGTGTCCGTGTCTCTTCGTGACTGAGGTTGAACCGGCTCTGATGCAAATCTCAACCCGTTTGGCAAACTGCCTGCAACCATTTCCTTGAGGTTCATCTAGGAGTCAGGTTTTACCGCTGTTGTTTATATAGTGGCCCGCATGTGTGTGCGACAACACGTTTGTGACTTAACGCATACGCCCACATAATACTAAATTGTTTAACCTCCACTAGAGACTTACGTGCATTAACTAATACGTGCATATGTTTACACGGGCGCTGCCTGGCTGTATGTATACATAGTCGTAAATTATACACGTGACGTCACGGGTAACGTCATCGTGCGTGCATGCACGTACACGTCAGTCGTCTCTGTGCTTACCCTGGGTGTGGAGCCTCAAGCGTATACTTACATCGGGTATACGGACAAGCCAGTAACCGCAGAGGTGTGGCGAGAAATACAGCAGCATGGCGCCCGTACCGATGTGTGAAGTTAGTCTCGCTAGATGCATGTGTCCAGTATATGTTTTACGTTGTAACTCACGCGTAAACGTGTGTGTGTATCAACAATAAATGTGAGGTACATGCCTGCAAATGGCTATGCTAACCCTAACCATAGCCACAGCAATAACCCTAACACTGACACTAACACTTTCACTAACACTAACTCCAACTGTATCAGTAACACTAACTCTAACACCAGTGATAAACCCAACGCTAATCCAAAATTTATTCATAACCCTAACCCTAGATGCTGATAAAAAATCAGAAGTGTTTGTCATCTTGGTAGCGTTTAGTCGGTGTGTATACAGATCTAGGTTGTTCCAGGTATCCGTATACTAGCTCAGCTGTCATCCACCGTATATCGCTGGCATTGTTACAGCCGCTGGGCTCACGATTTTCATTTGGTTGAACATTACGGCAGTGGATATATAGCTACGCTAGAGACAGTTCGTTAATCCAGCACAAGTTCCAATGTTCGAACAATTGCTTACATTGGTGAAACGTGACATTCCGGCTGTCAGTGTGCTCAGTTTTGTGCAGGGGTCAGGAATGTGATTAGTATATTGCCTCAAAGCAATGATTCGCACATCGCATAAAACCAAGGTTGTATAGGCGGCGAGGAGATCGTGGTAGTATAGAATCTAGTAGAAGTGGGGCGGGTTAAACGATCGCTTGCCTGCAAGCCCTGATCCGATGAGTCTAGCACATACCGCGCTGATAGACTGAGGAGGCCATGCTACTGTTAGAGAATATAGTTAGAACATAGTTTAAAATGCACAAGGATCCTGATCATGGAATCAATCCTGTGTCATCGGCGTGTCTGTCTGTCTATTGTAACCCGTCGCGTACGTATACACACGTCTGTAATTACTGTGTGAGTATACGTAAGTTTGTGTTTATATAGTAATCTCGTTATAATACAGGTATTACATGCGAGCATTTACTCAACTGAAGTTTTCATTGCCTTTCCTTGTTGTTTGCAGGTGATATATCTGAATCGAACTCCCGAGGAAGCGTGCAGGCCCTTTCTATCCGGCAACAACCAGCCGTTCCTGCCCTTCAGGTAAGTCCGTCTCGGCTCGATTTATGTTCACACTTGATGCGTTTCACTCACTCTAGCCAGTCCGTATACTCCTTAGTGGATTGGTACTATAAGTGGGTGGATTGAAACTATACGAGTGAAAGAACTGATGAATCCGAACCGAATTTAATCGATCATTAAACTCAACGACTACTCAAGGCAGTTAACTGACACGTGTGTTTTTCGACACATGTGCATCGAGGTGACCTGTTACTGTCGGCGGAGGGGGAGGGCAGGATGTTGCAGTGAGACTGAGAGTGAGAGCTAGGGAATGTGTGTGGACCTTTAATTTGGCAGTGAGATCCTACAGCTTGGCTGCGGTTAAATGCCCCGGCTCTCCCTGTCAGCGCATTCCGACACCGACGCACGTGCGCGTCTGCTATAAACATTCTCTCCGTATACGCTTTAAATCTGCCTGAAAAAGTATTTACATTGGAAGAGGCGTTACGGTGACAGATCTAGCGGGAAGCATCTCATCGTTAGACTACAGCAGTGATCGTGGTACACCTGCTATTCAGATCATATATTCCCCGCGGGCATATCAACGCGTTTTGCGCACATAACAGCCGGGCAGCGTGACATCGTGCACAGTAAATGATGCACGCGATGGGGGTGGATAGGCGTACACGTACACGTAGACATTCCATAAACCTGCGCGTTGATTACAGGTGACACTGTGCATGACATTGAAGCGGCGAACCAACGCGTATATAATCTGTTTGCAAAAGCCGCGCATGTATTTCTTGCAGGAAGTTGGCGAACGGTTGATTGTTACGTGTGTTGGTAAATGGTAAAAATCACTGTTCTTCGAAAGTTATTCCGGGGGCAACGTTAAGAGAACGCCGTATAGCATTGGCGACGTCAGCATTACAACCGCACTTATTCTTGCTAGTGAGGCTAGACTACGATGTCATCAGGAGTAGATAATAGGGAAGCGAATTGATAAGGGGATAGGGAAGGGGATAGATAATAGGGAAGCGATCCCTATTATCTACTCTTGATGTCATCTAGCTGGTTGTTTCTCCCAGGGCGGTGGTGAACCAGGAGAGGCGTATATTTACTGTGCAATGCGGTATGATATATGGCCGGTACGTGGCTGGTTCGTGTCTGTTGGCAATTAAAATCCTCACCCCGTGAAGAATGTTAGCAGGAGGCGTCAGTGTTCATCCTTTACGCATCGTTCAGGTCCTAATAGCGTTAGTCCTAATTTAGTTTATTCGTTGTTATTTTGTTTTGGCAGCTAGCCGGCGGGTTGGGGTTTTTGCAGGACATGAGTGGCTCAGAATGAATGAATGTTGCAGGCATCGCAGCGATGCAGAGTGTCCGCGTAAATCAATTTCTAGTTGAGCATGCCACGTAGGAAATATTTCACCCCACGAGGGAATAAATCGATTGACAGATTGAGAAGGGTTGATTCACGTTTCGATCGCTCTCGATCACTCGCGCCGTTTTGCAATTTTGACCTAAATCTTCGCCGCAGTATCATTATTATTCATATGTTTCATTTCGATCGTGCGGATTGACGATGAATCGGGTCTGTTACGTGTGTTACACACACTCACATCTAAATTTATATTACGCCGCTGTTATGTATCTGTGAAAATCAGGATTAAAAGATATCAAAGTAAATTGAATCGTGATTGTTATCTAGCGACTTAGCTAATTCGGACTGCACTGCATACTGATGATGCGTCCGCATAGGTGTGGGAATACACTGGTATGAGATACACAGGTGTGGGATATACATCTACGTCAACGTTCGCCGATCACCTACGCGTAACACAGATAGACCCCCCCCCCAAGACACGCACACACACACACACACACACACACACACACACACACACACACACACACACACACATGCACACACATACGGGTATAGGTATGGTGATAGCTTTGGTCGGCTTCCTTATTTCAGTTGATACATGTCCGCATCTATATGACTGCTAATATTAGCAGCATGGCACACGGGCATGCATGCAGGGGGATAATTGCTGTCAGTCAGGGACCCTAGGAAGAGTCTGTCTGATTCAGCTCTCAATCACGGCGGACTCTCTACGTAAAGGCGGCACAGCTGTTATACTAACAAAGTACTTCTTGTTCGCCCCGATTCTTGGTAAAAAGCACGCATGGATTGCGCGCGCGTTGGAGAGAAGAAACCTTCTGTAAAAGAGAGAAGCGTGTTGCTTAATAGTCAACACATGTGCATGCATGTGCGTACACCAAAGTAACACCGCTAACCTTTGCAAGTAAAGCCGGCGTGCCCCCCCCCACGCCGGCACCTATTTTAAAGTCGTGTTATACGGTTCTCTAGTGAAGCCAATAAGCCATTAAAGGAATAATAGATCCATTGATTATGCAATGTTGACGAATGCTAGAGTAACTGGCACCTTGTGTAGTTAATAAGTACATTACCTTACAGCCAAACGCGTATTAGTTTGTCCAATATCACTGCTGGTTACCAAAAATCAGTTGTTTACAGTTTCAAACCGCTGCCGGCGAAGCGGGTGTGATACAGATTTATAGTGCACCGGAGATTTCCGCACGCATGCTCGGCCGTACGCAATGCTATCATCAGTGATTTCGTAAACATGGACGCTCGTGATAGGGAACTTTTTGTCAGGGCTGTGTCCGTGATTAGTACGTGTGTTTTACTCTATTTCCATGTTTAGTCCGTGGCCGTGGTTACACCACTGACACCTCCGTTTCATCTGTCGTCCAAAACATACGGGCCGCACAAATCTTTACGTCATCGCTTGACTCCTGGATGACATTTACGGCACGTAAATGATACGTTGATACATATCAACAACCGATTTCAAGTCTTGTTTGTAATGTAACCAGCAGTGATATTGGACAAACTAATACGTGTTTGTCTATAAGGTTATGTAATTATTAACTACACAAGGTGCTAGTTACTCTAGCATTCGTCAACATTGCATAATCAATGGACCTATTATTTCTTTAACTACACAAGGTGCTAGTTACTCTAGCATTCGTCAACATTGCATAATCAATGGACCTATTATTTCTTTCAAATACGTGCGAACTTCGTGCTAGATGGATGCGTTTTGTTCCGTGGATAAGTAATCACATATTTATGATGGCACGCAGCGTTTGGAGATTCCTTCTCGTGCTCTGTTGAAACATGAAGGCACTATATGTATAATGCATTTACTGCGCCGCGAAACAAATGCGCGCGATATAGTGGATATTTTTAAGAGCTCGATCCCGGGATACTTTTACTGCTCGTAGATTATTCGATCATTTATTTATGTGCTTTTAAGTACCTCGCCATGATATGGCTGTTTTTACACAGAGGGGGGTCGCGCGCATGCGATCAAGTATAGTTTGATTACGACGATTTCTACGTACTACAAGTATTGTAAGAGGTTTCCGAGTTTACTTTGCGCATCGGCAAGAGGTTCCGCTTCTCATCTCTTGCTAGCTATAGCCATCCTCGCTCCGTAATCAGCTTGATGAACCTTCGTGTGTCACCGTCACCACTGCTCTATTCATATTCTCATCCTATACCAGGGGTAAATAATGACAAATTATTATATATATATATATATAATATATATATATATATATCAAGAGTTCATAATAGAAAATTCTATTTATAGAGAATTTTCTATTATGGACTCTTGATATATATATCATTTGTCATTATCTACCCCTGCCTATATTTCAACACTGCCCGCCGTCACGCGTGTGAAAGTTCCGCGCTGGCTGTAACTCAGTTAAGTAGACAGACATGCAGCTGTGCGCCCTTTGATGGCTTTTTTACTACAGATGTATGTTTGTAACAGTTCTGTATGAGGGTCAAGGGCGGCGGCTGCGGCGTTGCTGGTTGCTGCCGGCATGGCGGTGGGGTGGTGCGCCTCGGCGGCTCTTATAAACACTCTACGCCTATAAACCTAAACCACTCCTACGTACGTGGAATTACCCATGGGTGAACCTGCTGCATAGGTAAAGCTACGTGGGTGAAAGAACACATGCAGGTGCAGGCTCTGTCGATTTACACATGCAGGCTTGCACTCGTGCAAAGATTTGGTCGTCGACTTATAGGCAATCAGTCGCACATTCTCGTCGGGCTAGTCGCTGACATGCATTACAGATGTGTTCGTTAGATTTATTCAAAACTCTGTATGGATGTGTGCAAAGCATTACTCCTGAACTCTTAACAACAATTTGTCACGTTCCCCGTTGCTATACTATACTTTCAGCGTGAAAGGTTCGTTTCAATTCAAAATAACCATACTAAAACAATATATAACATGTAATATATCACATATTTAGACCCGTATACCTATTACTTTTATACATTATTCGACATGTGACAATATTATGAATTATAATTAGCTAAACAGCTGTGTAGATAAATATAATTAGCTATAGTTGATATGGATAAATAGCTGGTTGCGCAAGGATCTATAAAGCCGGCATCACGTTTAGGGGAGTTGAAAGCAGTCCGACATTAGCGGCAAGCCATTTATACATCTACCGGGATGTTACCTACAACTAGTCATTAGTGTTAATACTGGTTCAGGTGGGCGCAGCAGAGACATTACGCTAAACGATAGGTATATATAGGGGCAATTGACTTTCCCAGACGGTTGCTGGAATGACCTCATATATATTACGGTTCTAAATGAGGTAAGCTGCGCTGTAGTTTATAGAAGTAGAGCATGAAGTACAGGATTGTATATGCATGTCATTCACGATTGTCACATCCGTCCACATGCTTGTCACCGTGTTCGCTTATTCATTAGGCGAATGTGCAGTTGAATTGCGGTGGGATTGAGGATTCTAGGTAATGCAATGTTATACGCTTTCTTGGTTCACAGGATCTCCTCTGTCAACAACAGTAGCAACACCGTATTGTGCTGCACTCATACGCTTTATGGTATAAGCACTCATACTTACGTATTTTTATTGGAAATAGTCGTTATGACTTTATAAATGAAGGTTTTCAA